TAGTCCGGTGAAAGCTTGAAATACGTTTTTATAGACTATAAGGTGGGTTAACTTTATCTATGTCAGTGCTTACCCTGTCTGAATAAATGTTTGTGTCCTTACAGTGACAGGAAGAGGTACGTTTCACATGTTCTTTAGTCTTAACATATGGACACATCCTCATCTAAATTACAGGTGTGAACAAATAGAGTCTATACCAATATCACAAACACTAAATTTAGGGAGAATGAAGGGTTTAGCAACACTTCTTGTATTTTTCATCGATATTTGGGGTCGACCAACAAACCGTTCGAGCGGTTCCCATCTGTTTGCTAACTACAAGGGATGGCTATTAATAATATTTTAGACAAGGTCAGTTTATTTATGTAGCACCTTTATTATTCATAATAAAGTGGCACAACCATTTAGTACGGTTTAGTTTTATTTATATAGTGCCAATTCACAGCAACACCCCCCTTAAGGCGCTCTATATTATAGACAAAAAACCCTACAATAATACAAAGAAATCCAACAGTCAGACCACCCCTAGGCAGCTTTAATGTTTGTCTGTGCTGTTTGGCCTCTAAAGTATAAATCGTGCCTATTTGGATCTAAAAATGCTGGCGGAAAAAAAAACGAAAATTCAAAAAAATGTTTGATCTTTGTTGATATCCCTGACGCTTACATGAGCTAACCATGCCACTAAGTCTGGATTCAAAATGTTGAGGACAGTCCAGTTTGTTTGTTTGTTGTTTTTTTTACCAATAAATACAGCAGCAGATTTTAAACGTGTTTTCTGTCCACATGGTTGGGGAAGGTTCAGTGAGCATTTGCAGTATGTGTTATCACTTTGACTCAGAACTGTTGCAGGGTCTCCAGTGTAATCAATGGAGTGAGCGTTGCAGTTTGGAGCTGCTTTAGTACCTCAGGGACAATGCAGTTTGCTGCAGTGGCAAAAATTAAACCTCTCAATTACACAAATATATCTTACAGAAACATGTCCACCATCCTAAGCTCACTAAGAGCTGGATGATGAATTAGAACAATACATTTTAATATTAACATAAAATTAATCATTATAGAATTGATTCAGATAAACAAAACGTCTTTTTAAATCACCCAGAGCCCAAATATTCTCCCACTTTCACCACCAGCACTGGGAATGTTTAATATGTCTGTTCAGTAAGGACTCTTGAGAAATGTTTGTGAAATGTAGAAAATATGACGATTTTGTAGGTTTAATGGCTCCTTGCCACTATATTTGTTAAAAGTCACATTTATTTCTAACATTATAGTAATAGCCCTCATAACCATAGTGTATGTGCACATTGTTGGCATATTGGTGTGCCCACCAAGCAAAGGGAATAACATACACTGTGTGGTAAATTTGCTAGGCTTGGGTCATTACTCTCTGTTTGTTTTACTTCAAATTACAAAAGCTAATGTCCATGTGCCCTTTAGCTGTAAGTCAATTAAAGATTCTGGAACCATGTGTCTGTTTATTTAGCCTTTTAAAGAATCCTTTAGTCCCAAGTGTGTTGTGACTATAGTGAGATATTTTTCTCATAAAGACAACAGCATGTCTATGTATTTCTGTTGTATACCCTTATTCACATTTATTTTACTTCCAGCGAGGAAGTGCTGGTAAAGCAACTTCTAGCCCTGCAGAAAACTACCTCCTGGCACGCCGTCGCACTCTGCAGGTCGTTGTCAGCGCCCTGTTGACTGAGAGTGGCTTCGAGAGTGCGGAGAAGGCAGCTGTGGAAACCCTAACTGAGATGTTGCAGAGCTGTATGTATGATTTTTAAGTGTACACCATCCACTGGGAAAGCTGTAAATCTTTAAGTGCCACTTTTACAATATATATCTGAACACCAGTGCAAGTACACCTCACTTTATTTAACCTACTTTCTTAAATAAACACCAATGGGAATAATTTTGGTTGAAGTTGGTGAAAAAAAGCTGAGAAACTGACATAACTGAGCCCCTGTAGACTATTTTCAGAGCAGACGTTTCTTGAATTTGCAGTTGGTTGTTGATTCATGTTTACAGAACTGATTCTTTTTTCTCTGTTTTTAGATATTACTGAAATAGGTCGATGTGCCAAAGCATACTGTGAACACACAGCCAGGAGCGTCCCGACACTGTCAGACACAGTGGTCACGCTTATTGAAATGGGTAAGACCTCCTATAACACATATGGATTAAACGTTGCTAAGGGAACACAATACTGATTTGATTTATTCTGCTTGTGTCATTAAAGGTTTCAATGTTGATACTTTGCCCATATATGCTAAAAGATCACAAAGGATGGTCATAACTGCCCGTAAGTAGGAACTCAGCTCTCCATTATTAGTATTAAAATGAATGACTTGAGACCTTTTGATCCAGTGGTGTGTGTGAAAAATGTTTATTTATTTATTTTTTAATTTCAGCTCCAGTGACAAATGCTCCTGTGACTCCCAAAGCGCTGTCAGCTGGACAGAAGCGCACACATCCAGCCCACATCCCCAGCCACTTCCCAGAATTCCCCGACCCTCACACGTATATCAAAACACCTGTGAGTCAGAACTTTTCCACTTCATCATGGAGATCCCTAGAAAGCTGGATTGTGTATTATAGAAGTACAACTGTACTAAAAAGTAAGCCACTTAAGAGTTTTTCTTCCTGTAGACTTTCAGAGAACCCGTGTCAGACTACCAAGTGGTGAGAGAGAAAGCAGCAACTCAGAGGAGAGACGTGGAACGAGCACTTACACGCTTCATTGCCAAGACTGGAGAAACTCAAAGCCTATTCAAAGATGACATCACTACCTTCCCATGTGAGTGATTCTCAGTAAGCTGATCTTTATTTAAAGCCAGATTATGTCTTGTGATTACTGAATGAAGCATGCTGCATTTTCACGAGTTCTGCTTCCTGTGATTGTCATCAGTAATTGCAGCGCAGCCGAGCACCATCCCATATCTCAGTGCCCTCCTGCCCTCAGAGCTGGAACTGCAGGCTCTGGAGGAGACGGACTCCTCTGAGCAGGATGACCAGACTGATGGCGAGAACACAGCAGGAAACGCCATTACTGTAAGTCTCCATGTCCGGGACCTGGTGTGCCATAGATATATATAGTATATATGGTATAAACAGAAATTGTAAAGCAAATTAATATCTTCTTGGGATATTTCACAAAATCCTGAATCTTTGTTAAATTAAAATTGTATCACACATTGAAATTTTAAGGAACAGAAAAAAAAATTGCTGCTGCTGGCAGGCGTACAGAATCATCTGATCTCTAAATGTTTGTGGATCTTCTCTTACTGTTACTGTAGTGACAGGGAAAGATCTGTTGCAGATCAGCCTGAACAAATTTAAGTGAGAATCTGATCTATTTCATTACCGTGATAATAGAATTTCAGGGTCATTTTTTTCAGTATTAAGCTCCATTAGTTGCACAGGGTTATCAGATTTTCAGAGAGAATATTGGTCTCAGTACAGATGCTCAAGTATATTAGCAAACACGTGGGAGAAGTTTCTCAGAAAACCAGTAGATTTTCTTAGGAACTGAAAGCTACTCAAGCCTTCCATAAACTTTAATAATGGAGCTTTTGTGAACATTTATTTGAGCTAATTTCGAAGTAAGAAGAGGCTTTATGAAACTGAAGTCATAGTGCATTTCCATGTTCTGGTTAAGTTCTGTTGCCATCAAGACGTCACACAATTTAAAGTAATTGTTTTAAAATGGGAGAGTTTTGTTTATGCTGAAAATGTATACTTGAAAGTTGATATCATCCTCATATTTACCCTTTAAATTGGACCTATAATGCTTCTTGTTTATTTTCTACCCTGTCTGTTACAATGGTGGATGCTCATATTAAAGAAGTTTCAAACAAAGATTCAGCACAGGTGATCTGTGAGCCAAAAGCCTGAGCTTTTGGCTCACAGGGTCTTGGCTCTGTATGATGGTGAGAGAGATGTGAGAGTGGATATCTTTAACAGAGCACATAGCTCTGGCTGTGAGCACAGAAGCCCCAGCCATCTGCAGTTTGTTTAGGAGGTGCTGCCAAATTTAAGATGGCTGGATTTTTCTGGGGATTGACTTGCTTGAATTTAGGGGGGGGGGCATACAAAGAGTCCAGTAAAAGATTAATAAGGATTATTTTGAATGTTGTGCATAACAGCCCCCCTTTAAATGTGAAAATACAGCCAAGGAACAGCTCAGCTTAACATAGTGACTATAAATGGGATGAAATAGCTAGCAGCTAAAATATTAAAATAAAGCTAATGCACTTCTGAAGCTAGGAAACGTGCTTCATTCATTTAATACATACTAAAAAATTAAACAAACAAGTAATGTTTCATGCTCTAATTACTTATCATTAGTATCCTGGTTAATGCTGGAAATCAAACTTTCATTACTTTGATTTCAATGAATTCATAATTGTGTAAATTACTTTTAGTGTGTTGATAGGGTACCTGTGTGTCCATATTGCAATCATTATGTTCAGCTAAGCTAATCACATCTAAAGTGGCATTTATACATCTGCATGAAGCCCACACCCAGAGCTACATCATAACAGGTTGCATCCAACCCTAACTTAACTCTGATTCAAGTTTTCTATTTACCATGTAGTTATACGTTGGTACCTATGCCAACAGTTAGCAAGAAGTTTCCCAGAATGCCCTTCAAATATACCACTGCTAATATTGTTTTACATTTCCATCATTCAGGATGATCCAGGAGCTGACAAAGAGAATTCCATGCTTCCTCCCAGCGGCGTAGTTCCATCCACCAAGGCTAGTGAGGACAATGTAATCGACAATCCGTACCTCCGGCCGGTCAAGAAACCCAAAGTAAGGAGGAAGAAATGAGAAGGGACGAGGCTTAAAGAAACGGACTCATATCTGCTCCAGTCTTTGGTGCTTACAACAGTCCAGTCAGTGATTCCCTGCACAGGGGAAGTGGCCCGGGGTTGAAACCCGCTGCGTGAGCTGAGACCAGCGACTGCTTTGCCTCAGCAGCGGGACCAGTACTGCAGACTGACTTCCACAGAAGATGGCTTTTTTTTTTTTGTTGTGTTAAGTGTCACTTTTTCAGCTGTTTAAAAATCTGTCCTACATTATTTTGTAAGCAACATCTTTATGTAACATACAGGTCACATAGGAATTCTGTCATTTTGTAATTAAAGGAAATTAAGTTTCTTTTAAAAAAAGAAAAAAAACAACCTTACATGTTCATATTTTGTTTATATTTTAAGGGGAAAGACAAAAAACAAAAAACAACATCTTCTTGCTTCGCCAGTGTCATGATAGGTTTCCATGTAAGACCTTCAGGGTTAATAGTACAAACTCAGGTAGGCCACTCTGTTCCTCTGTTTAAGGTACTCCTTTTCACTGGCAAGCTGTGGGAGGAAAATAAAATATGTATATCACTATTTTTTTGGTGCAGCAACATGTAGTTTTGTACAGGTATAGGTGACGAGCACACCTAATATTACACCAAATTAAAGGCTAACAGGCTTACAGTTAGTGAGTTTATCTGAGTAATCGTGCATAGAATCAGGACATCTACAGAGAGACAACATTTCTGATACTAGAGAGATATCTGTGGTCTTTATGTATAAGCTGGCTGTGCCTTTTAAGTTTTTGTAACAGCAAAATTAAGGCCATGAAATTTCTCAACTTGCTTCGCTCACCTTCACCCTGAGTGACTTCTTGCCTATTTGAGGCAGGCTGGACCAGTCTGGTCTCCCAAAGCACATGGGCCAGCTCACTTTCCTGTTTGTCACTCTGTCGTGGGCATACGTCCCAGGGCTGTGTCACAAAATAACATCTGTCAGCTCAGTTTAGCACCGTAACATTTCAGCCATGTGTCAGTTTCTCCCTGTCTCACCCTGGACTCCTCTCAGATGTACATGGTGTGGTTTTGAACCTCTGTGCTTTTGAGCTGAAAGCTATTTTGCCAGGAGGAGAGACCCTAGAACCACTTTGATCCTGCTGGTACTGCCACGGTGAAGGGGTCACTGCCTGGTGATCAGAAGGATTATAAAGATCTTGTATTAAGCATTACATATTAAAAAGCCAGTAGCAGGTTTATACTTGCACAGAAAATGTTTTGACAACCCCCCCAACAAGTAGAATACAGCGACTTCTAACTATGTGACTTAATTTGGTTTTAATTTCACCAGATAGCTGACAGAGTAATGAAGATTTATTGCCAATACTGTAAGCAGACCAGTCATGCTAATGTAAACAGTCATAGAGCAAAGGCCCATTAAGAACCAGGAAAAGATTTCATTTTCACATCAACAACTTTATATTAAGTGAAGGGCCACTTTTATTCTTTCATACCCCACAACTTTAGCTAACTTTACCTGTGTAAAAAAAGATGAAAATTGCAAGCATAAAATACTTCCATGATAAAATCCCCAGCTTTACAGTATTTTTTAAGCATGTTTACATCCTGGAACTCATCTGAATCACTGAACCTCTTGTGTCCTCTCAGTCCTTTTTGAAGCATTTGAAAAAAAACCCATAAAACATGGTTTGTCCAACATGTTTAAACTTAATTTTAGGTGAGCAAAGTTCCAGTCTTCTGTTAGTCTGTTACTTAACACTAATTACAAAGTATATGTCTTTGCAAAGCACCTGTCCTGTCTGTTTGCTAATGACAGTTGATAAATTAGTACTCTACTCACTCATCCTAATTATCAATGGTGTAAAATTTGGATGAAGTCCTCTTATGAGGCCTTGAGCTGGGCATTTTTGCCACCTTGGTGTTTTCATAGCAGATGTGATAACTGAGGAGTGGATTTAACTGTAAAACCACAAACTCGTCACAAATTGAACTTAAGCTCTTTTCTGACTCTTGGAATGATCTTATTTTGAAAAATTGACTTACCGGTAATCTTCTGTTCAATATAATCAGAAACTAGTGCACGAGTTCCCAAAGTTAACAGGAAAGTGTTTACTAAGGATGCAGAGCAAGGTGGCCAAAGGCCAATTTCTATCCAACTGGAAGTCCTTTTCCAGCCACAGAGGTCAGACCTGGAAGCTCCCTCCATCTTTTATACATTCTATCGTCCTAGTATCATATTTGCCTAAAAAAAAAACCCCCAATATATTTAAAAATTACAATACCATGATAACAACTAAAAAACCTTTAAGAAACCGCTGGGCAATATGAAGATGTCCTAAGATAGTCACTTCATGGCAACATGGAAATAAATGTAGAGGTTTGGGCTAAACTGTCGTAATATATCAAAATCTGAACCTTAAAAAAGACTGAACTCATGAAAGGATTTCCAAAGAAGAAATCAAGGGAGCAGTAGGGTGGCTTTCTCACAGGCTTCTCTTTTTGCAAACCAACTTATGTTTGTAACCACTCCTGCTGGCCTTAGAAATGACACAAATTTCAGACACTTATGCAGTGGAGCTAGTTTCAAGTCCTGGAGGCATTGACCATCGTTAATACAGGCAAAGGCTGTAAGTAGACAGTCCAAGTGGAACGACCCTTAGGCTGATATACAGTAAGGCTGTTAATACACTTCTTAATGTGCTCTCAGTATAACAGGAAACTTCTTTGTGTAACGCACCTTGTTACAAGGCGGAAAGCGCACAGCAGTCCTTGCAGAGAGACTATATCCTTTCTTACTCCCAGGTGTCTTCTGTATGTCATAAAGTATGGTGCCAAACTGTGATAGAAAGGGCAAGTTTATTAATGGAAAATACAAGAGAGAGGTAAAGAGGAGAGTGCAGGCAAGGTGGAGCAGGTTGATTTGTAACAGAAGGAAAGCAGCAAAGTTGAAAGGGCAGGTTTACAACGTGGTAGTGAGACCTGCTACAATATGTGGTTTGGAGAAGGTGGAAACAAAGTTAAAAGGGGCAAGGCTGAGGTGAGACAGAGGATGTTGAATGTGAAGCACAAGACAGGAGAAAAACAGGAAGACCACAGAGCAGCTTCATGAATGTAGTAAAGGAGGATATGAGGAGGGTCTGTGTGACAGAAGAGGATATTAATATTGGGTCAGATGGATACTTAAAGGGTGCAGCCGTTAAAGGAAGAGGAAGCAGATGTTAATGAGCAAGGCAAACTATCAACAAACATTTAGAAGCACTACTTTACAAAACAAGTATGTAAATAATTATTCTGAATATACCATTCATTCACCAAAAGTCAGCCGAAAAATCAAACCTCGCAGCTGGCCTGCATCTCAATGCACTTACTGTAGCTGACTTATTTTAAAGCATCACCTAAATTAACTTTAACGGTCACGTGGGCATAAAAACTGCATGCATAGAAAGAAAGGGGAAAAATATGTAAAACAACTTGTGAAAGTACCCAGTGGCGGCCCTAGCCTGTTTGGCGCCCTGGGCGAACACTCCCTCTGCCCCCACTGCTGTAACTGGGGCCTCGTCGTCTCGTCTCTCTATATACTGGACTGTAGCGGAGATGACAATAAAGTTTACTTTGACTTCAGCAGCAAGCAGGTGCACCGAGGGCTCTCGCACTCACTTTTCTATAGAATTTCGAAAAAACATCGGTGCAAATTATAAGTCTGTATCATAATGTCTGGTGTTTTCGTGTTTGTTGGTTTGTTTTTATTTTGTTTTATTTTGTGAGTTGGTTATTAGATGCTGCTCCAGCTCCAGCTGGTCAGAGAATCCCCCGCCCTCTCCTCTCTGCGCCGCAAGCAGCAGGCGCACCTCGCAAACGGAGGGCGCCCTTACTCCCAGGAAATGGGCGATAGAAAACCGATCGGTGCCTATGCCATTCCCAATATGCGCTGGCTGACGTTGGGGCAGCATGAGTACGAGCATTTTTTTTTTTGCCCCCCACCACGATGCCGCCCCGGGCAACCGCCCGTATCTAAAACCGCTACTGAAAGTACCCCTTGACTCTTTCTCTCTCACACAAACCTCGTGGTTGTCATAGCTTCCCGGGCCGACATGTGGCGGTCCCTGTTGTGACATTTGGTTTCCCAGCCGGTCTGGCGCGTAATGGAGAGGAAACAGCCTCCTCTCCAGTGAGCTCCCAAAACATACTCTCTGAGCAGGAGCGGTCAGCATCGTTGAAGCAAACGTTTGGTAACGTAACGAAAACCCAAGTAGGAGGAAAAATACCGCTAGCTACTTTCTAGCTGTCAACAACTCTGACCGTCGTAGCGTTTCTGCTTGCTGTAACTATGGCAACCGAGCAGCATATCCTGTTCAACGCTGATTGGTCAACTTTATTAAAGCTCCCACATTTCGATAGGCTTAAATTTACATTATGCGTGGTGGATAGCTTGTATTTATGCTTGATCAAGAGTTGGGAAAACTGCACTCAGTTAATACACATCATTTTTTCATCCCAGCGATTTATGCAAAACATTGAACCTCTCTCGTTTTATGAATTTGCATATCTAAATTTCAAGACGCTTCCCCACTTAAGTAGCGATGCCCATCCTGTCGTACAGAAACATCCGCTTTACCCTGCATTTAGTTTGCAGGTATCTTTCAGCCTGTATATGACCTCAAAATAATGAAATAAAACAACTGCAACTGAGGGGCCCACAACTTCAGAATTACTTAGGAATTTATAGATTTATTTGTAATTAAACAAATCATATTGTACTTCATTGCAAATGCACGTCAATATTTTTTTTTGAAAACAAGGCACTGTTATTAAAATAGCTGATAACCCAGAACCAAAGGGTAAACCTTAAAGGCAAATGAAGTCCTTTTATACAAATAAATTACTTGCCAAGAAAAATGGCAACACTGATATCCAATGTTAAGCCATGACAAGTGGCCACAGAACTGAATCCAAGGTAAGTTATTGGGAAAAACAGCAGCACTACACAACACATCACAAATGATCATTTATATACACAGGCACTTCTTTCATTAACAGTAGTTTTTAAATTACAGTTAGGCCAGGGAAATTAAAATAAAAAATTAAGAACTGAGGTCTGAAACGGTCCTACAGCATTTAGCGATCACATTCGTATTGGCAAGGAAGTCATTCCATGATATGTGTGCAAATTATTTTAGTAAAAATACTAGCTGTATCTGGCACACGCTCTAAAATAATAGTCATTAAAAATACACTCTGGAACCTGTAAAATATGGCAATATGACGTGGAATGTGCCAAAATAACTGTGGAAGGACTCAAAAGAAACATACATTAAAGAAAAAGACCCAAAAACACAAAAGCTAGAAGGCAAAGGGATACTTTCTTTGATCAACAAAGGGGCACTCAAAAACTGAGGAGTGGATGTTCTTACTTTTTTTTTTTTTAAGTAAAAAAGTGATTTACTCTGACTGAGGCACTGAAATTGATGGGCCTTTGGGGTCATCGAACCGATCCATGGTGTTAATCTGCATGATCATGTGCAGACCGTACACTAAAATTAGCAGCGTAAGGAGCACAGTCACCAGTCCCATCCAAATTGCTGGGGTGAAGAAGCTTGCACAGTCACTGGCGTAGGAGAAGTTTGTGCTGTTGGCCAACCCAAAGCCCTGAATCTGTATAAAAAACAGAAAACAATTATTTAAGAAACCCTTCATCAACACACCTCTTCATGCATTGGTGTTTGACTTTAAAATTAGCAAATGCGGCACTATATTTGTACCTGGAAGTCGATAAAATTTAGCCTCCATTGAGATGAATTTGTGTCTGTTGTGTTTGTGTGGAGCCGGATATCTCCGAAGTTGGCGACAGACTGGCAATGAAAGGAATACTCTGCGGGAGCATAGATGTCACGGCTCGCGATGTAAGATGCACTGAGGTTAGCGTACTGCAGCTCAACTGCATCCAGGGAGAACCATTCTCGTGCAGAGACAGGGTAGAAACGCTTGCTCATTGAAAAACTGGAGATCAGCAAGAGAAGGATGGTCAGAAAGCGTATCAGTGTAAAAAGCACAATCACTGTTTAACTATTCTTTCCAAACTAGTTGTTCTAAACTCTTACATATCCGTGAAGGATTTTAAAATAAACAGATGCTAGCAGTGATATTAAAAATATAGTATTTTTTTTAAAAGTCTGAAACATTAAACATTACATGGAAATAATATCTCTACTGCAGAGATTGAGAAAGTTATTTTGCCTTTTTAGAAAACAAGAAAACTTTGTTTTTGAAAAAGAGAATTGTCTTCAAATGGAAGCCGTGATTTCAGGAATTTCAACAAAATACTTCATTTTTTGAAATGCGTTCTTACTAAGAATTAAACAGGAAGATCCCATTTATCACTTAAACATAAATCCACATTAATTTAGCAACCCTATTTATAAAAATGCCTCAAGATGATCATTTTATGAACTCTGTTGTGTGATAAGAAAGCTGTAAAAACATCAAATTGCTTAATACTTGCACAAAGGCTTGGCCTCCTAGTTGTGTAAGTTTCTATGTTGAAACTAGACAGAAAATAGTCCTTGAGCTAAAATGTCCATAGTGACAACCCCCACTGCTCACTGCTTCCAAGATGTGTGCAAAATAAAAATAACTAAAATGCATCAGCTACAAACAAAGTGAACCAAATGACCAGCTGTTGACTCCAAGATTTTAAATGTCAGGTAAATGTCATTTTGTGTTTCAATTGTAGAACAAAGTGATCTCTTAGAGAAAGCAAAGCAACAGAACGCCTCATTCATGCCAGCACTGTGCTGCACCCATTAGTACACACTGTCACTCACAAACTTCTTTTTAAACAGGGTGTGGGCAGAAGCAGCAGCGGCTCAGCTAGATTTAAAGCCACACACACTGAAAGAACCGGTTTGGAAAAGCAGGTGTGTAGAGCATGATATTTAAACAGTAAATACAAATACATAGAAATACTATTGCTGTGGTACATTGAGCACAAAATTGAAAAGCACATCCTGGGGACATGTTAGAGTTATTAACTAATTGAAAAGGTACAATTTTGAATCTTTAATAAGCAACTTTTTGCCTTACCTTAACGTAAAGCCTGATTGGTAACTAAGCACAAGCCTGAAATGAGAAAAAAAATAAAACATGCAACTGATTATTTCTCTTTAAATAACAAAAAAACCCAAAAACTAAACTCATCACAGGCTGGATATTGCTTTGGGAAATAATGAAAGGCCACTTTACCGTGAGGTACTGCCATTACACAGTGATCCAGCAAAGGAAGGTACATCCTGAGCAAGGTCGATCCATGGTGAGCTCGGACTCAGTCTGACAGTGAGATTTTGAGCCCACAGCATTATGCAGGGACCACCAGATACATTAAACATGATGGGAGGCTTAACTTCAGATCCATCTGCTTGTAGCAAGGACCGACCCACTGGCTGATCAGAAATCGGGGTTTCTGAAATCACCTGCAAAGTTATCAAAATGTTGTTCATTCTCAAAAAATACCCAAACATTGAGAATGTGTTATAATGTGGCACGTTTTGACTAATTTTAAAAACATACTCGTGATGGCTGGAATCCTGTGTATATTGCAGTGTATGGGATGCTTTTTGCTTTCATTGAACTCAGAACTTTTCCAATAATTTCATCTGTTGACAGCAAAATGCATTCAAATTATACACAAATTAAAATATAACATATAATGCTATACATGTTTGTAATTGTAAATGTCATATACAGTTATAAATGTTTTTAATCCTCAGCACTTAAAAACATACCATTCTCATGTAGGACTTCCTTGCATGACTTCTGTAAGCTACAAAACAATTTAAAAATAATAGACTTTAAGTATTAATTAAAAACAGATAACTGATTATTCAATATAACTTTGAACAAAACAAAATCTCACCTGCTACAATAAGGAAGATTGATGAGCAGGAGGTTGCTGACAGACGTTTTGATAGTCAAATGTGAGAGAGTGTCTGCATCGACGAGCACAGGCGAAACACCGAGCTTCTCCTGCAGCAGAGCTGCCATGTTAAAGGAACCAGACCACTCCAAGGCAGGCAGTGTCACTTTTGAGGTAGAAGACTGCATTGCATCCTGAAAAGGATCAAGTGGGCACAATTATCAGTCTGTTTGTCTAGGAAAAAACTATATTAATTTTGGACTAACATATAGTTTATAAAAACATACCTCAATGTTTTTAAAGGCACTATCCTCCTTATTCCCAAATACGCCACCAAAGACTGTGAAGTCATCTTTGCTTAACTAAATACAAAAAAGGAAATAATTCTTGAATTCAGGAAGACTTTAATAACTAAAACATTTACCAGTCCCATTAACTCACGAGCAATTAATTTAGCAGCTAAATTGACTGAATGCCATTCATAATCAGACATTATTTTAACGGAATTCTTTTTTAATGGCTCAGTTTGTATTTATCATTCTTTAAAAAAAAAATACAGCCTGTACAAATTACATTAATTTGGACAATTATTATCTGCTACTTCTTTCATTTTCTTTGTTTCAGTAATACTAGGAAAAACTACATTTCAAATCTTAATGTCTGTTTGAGTGACTTGTTGTATGTATGCATGACAGTATGCTAGTGTGCCAAAATATGAGTGAACTGGCGGCTCCACGATACCTCAATTGACAACAAACTGGAATGAAATCATTGTCACGTTCATACTTTTCACGCAAGCTACATCTAAAGGAATATCTTGTTTGTGCTTGTGTAGTTGATTAAAAGTCATAGAGGATTTACAATGACAATTTCATGACGATTACAATCACGATTAAAAATATCACATGGGAAAATATAAATATATGGCTCAGTCACAACACTGAGTGTTCACCACCACCACAAAAAAGACCCAATGTATCACAGAGGAACAGAGAAATGGGAAGTGATGCCAAAACTCACTGTCACACCACACTGTTGCAGTGTCACATGGGAATGCAGTACAACTACCCCATTTTGCACAACTTGCATATAAAATGACTAGCTTTCAAATCAACAAATGGTGAACAATTTAGTGACATAAACATATTCATTACAGGGCCAGAATCTAGTTTATGTGTCAGGTACTGACCTTGTCCTGCAAGAACAGCAGCACGGTGTGGGAGCCAGAGCTGAAGGCAGAGGTGAGGTAGGCACTCAGCTGCTCATAAGATGCTATATGACCAGCTGTAGGTGAGGCCAGTGGTGGCAAGCTAAACATAAAGAAAAAAAAATAAAGATGAATTGTGATATTAAGTGGTTCAGTTGCACTGACACATTTTTTGAAAATGCTGAAAATCCCAGCGGCTTTTATTATGGCTTTATGTACTTCATTTTTAAAAGAGACCCATTAGTCAATCAAATGAATCCTTTGAGTAGGCCCAAACAAACCTGTGTTTCCTGTAAAGCTGGCATAACATTATACATATATAAGAAATGTCTAAATAACAACAACAAAAATAAAAATAACGAATCGGATATTCATCCTATCATCAAAGAAAACTATTTTGGTATATCAACCTTGCTTTGTCCTCCTGCTTAACACACCACCTCATACAGTAGTATACTTCCACATTTTAAACTCCTGTGTGCA